CAAGTGATACTTTAGTCAAAATTGGGTGTTTTCAAACAAGGAACAAGATGGCACAGTTGGTTTTTTTGAAGTGAGGCCTAGAAAACAAAACACGATAGGAGTTGCAAAAATAGGATGAAAATGCATTTACAAAGCCAATGATCAAACCGGTCATGCTATAACCAGGAATAGAGTTCAAACACAATTCAAATATCATGTTTATCAAGTTCATACATTCAAACAACCCAAACATGAGTCAAAACTCCATCTGTCATATGGAAATGAGGGAATATTCAAGGCACTTGCAAGTATGAGGGATTTAAGGTTCATGCTCAAAGCTGTAGTTCAACAGACACAGTTAAAGCCAAATGGCAGTATGCACACTTGAAATATATTACTCATGCACAAATTTCAAATAAATGTCTCAATTTCCTACTGAAACAAAACATGGTTGTTAAGTTGCAAAAATGTGAAAGTGGCTTAAAATGCAATTCAATGTTGGAATTCAAGACAGAAGTGATTGAGATGGGGGAACATCATGAGCAAACCATGAATATGATGCTGAAGGTATTCTAACAAGAAAAATGATGCAAAGCAAGCTTGGAATAAAAACTGGTGTATGAGCTGTAAGTGTATTCATGATATTGATGTATTTTGAAACCAAGGCATAAAGCTGAACTGAATCAAACTTGACAAAAATCATACATTGTAAGCATACTAGCAGGAATTTTCACACTCAAGAATCAACATGGACTGAGTGAAACAGACAGCTAATCATGGATTGCAAGTTCAACATAATAATGCTAATTTCAATGATGCAGTTGAAATGCAATTTGAGATTTAAAACAAGTATTGCAATAGTTCAAGTCACACAACCTTCATACACATGTTTCAAGTGTGCTAGCAGACATGCCTATATCCTAAGATCAACTAAACATCAAACCAAGTATGAAGTGGTATGTGCACAGCAGACATAGCATAAAGATGCATAAAGTGGAATCTCATTTGAACAAGCTTAAGTTTATGCTAATGTCAAATACATGCAAGCTGATGGTTTTGCACTTATATCTCAGACCAATTCATGCTCAAACAGGAAAGGTTATGTATTGCAAGCTGTAGTGTAAAATGCCAAAATTGCTCATGCATTGAGGAAGTGGAACATTAGCACAGATGTAAACAGACCATGATGTTAATGCATACATACCATAAATAAGCAGATGTATGAGATCAAAACCAAACTTTAAGCATACTTCAATTAAATCACAAATTGGCATGTTAGGGGAAAATGCAAGACAGTTTTGGCAATGGATGAGGCAGCAGGTGAATTTTTGAATGATGAGCTTTTATGCCTAAACAGTGGTGTACACATAACATATATATGATGACAGTTGGGATGATGAGACAACATGAGCAAACCATAAATATGATATTGAAAGTATTCTAGCAAGAAATTATTTCAATACAATCCTGATTCAAAAAATGGCACATGAGTTACTATGTCTTGCACATATAGAATACCAAGCCAAACCAATACTTAAACATGCTAGGGGTTACAACCAGATCCTAACAAACTAAAAGACTAACTGTCAACCTAAAAGAATGACAAAGAGTATTGCTAAAACACAATCAAAATCCAAAACATAATTACCAAATTTGTAAAACAGTGAATGATGTTGAAGGAGGAATAAAGCAGTCATGATGCACATCAAAAGAGAAGTACACAAAGTTAAATTCAAAACTGGTTTGGAGGTTTATCCAATGTTTCAACCATATTGTGAATTCCAACAGGGGTTTTTGCTTGAAGCACAAGAAAAATAACTTTTTGAAATGGTGCCAATTTGCAAACAAGATCCATGACAGCAAAACTGTAACAACTGATATGCTTATTTGTGAACAAGATTGGCAGACAATGCAGCAAAATCCATGACAGCAAAATTGTAACAACTGATCAGCTTTTGACACAAATGTGAAATCTAGCATAAAAATTCCTATATCCATATCATGATTGCCTCAAAAAACACATAGGAAATGCAGTGAGGAGTAAGTGATAACAGTTACCAAACCAAACTTATACCAAAACAAGACCGCTATGCCCTATTAACTGAAATTAAAGAAAACTTGCAAGTTAGCAGGCCAGATCAAGATACAAACATGATTGAATTGGGATGACCCCCCTAACATACTCAAAACATCAAATGAAATGTGCCCACACTTCAGAATTGCTCACATATATCATGAAATTGAAAATTGGGTGTCAACTGCTCAAGTATTCAACATTGGCAACAAAAAGATCAAAAAATGATTTGGAATAGTCTGAGATGCAAAAGATGCTACACACAAACTTCAAATAAGATAACAAATGAGTATTACCCTTAAGGTTGTCATGAAATGCATACAACAAGATTATGACCATCAAAATGCAAATTCAAACATGAGGAAGCCAGGCTGTTATGACAGGGCAAAGAGGCATACAGAAATGATGGATTCATGAACATACAAGTTTCATATGTTAATAGAGGTCAAATGCTATATGAATTAACTTAAAACTAAACAAGCCACAAAAAGTGAAGTGTGTGCCCAAGTGATTTTTCAAAAAAACTGTCAGCAACATATGGTTCAAACATGGTTCAGTGGTGAAATGACCTCATGTTAACAAACAGTACACATACACACCACAAATATGGTGAGGAATGAGTTACAACTCTAAAATTACACATATTGCAAGCAATCAAGGTTTTGATATGTGGCCATGGTGGTTTCTTTTTCAAAATGTGAGGTTTCAAACCAAGATAACATCATACACACATTCTAAATATGTCAAGGAACATCATTATGCACTGAAAACAAGTTCATAGCAGTTGGAGCAGGATCATGATATGCTGTTTGAAATATGAAACAGTTTTGGTGCATTGGTACATGATGTAGTAGCAAGTATGTTTCATGACAGTTAGGGCATTTTGGTAGCATACACAATTTGCAAATGGATAGGACAATGATAAAATACACCTAAATCATGTAGATGTGGATTGAAACAGAAAGTGATATGTTGATCTCATGATATCTTAAAAACAAATAACAGTTGAGGCATGACAAGTCAATTTGAACATTTAGGATGTTTTTGAGCACATAGGCACCACACACACCCTAAAAATAAGTAAACAAATGAGTCCACCACTTTGAAATCCAACAACAAACTGATCCAAACATAAATGGTATGTGAAGCCACATTTGATAGCAAAAACACAAGATTTCAAGACAACCCTAAAAGCAAAATTCATATCTTTCACATCTCCACCAAGACATACATCATGAACCAAGATCAAACACTAACCAAAGATTTGAGGCATAATAAATAGCAAGCATAACAACTTAACACCCATTTCATAATAATGATAGACAAGAAAGATATGAAAATAGAAAAATGTGAAAACAAGAGCCACATTTATTCAAACATGACCAAGGGCAATGGGAGAATCTATGAGCAACTTACAAGTTGAGTCAATCATCACTAACAAGCTAGGTCTAACAAGCCTAGGGCAGGCATATCATTATTTCAAAGTTGGATCCTAAATCTACCAGATGGCCCAAAATCTTCACCAACAAGTTAAGCATGACATTAAAGTAACAACTTGTAACATATCATCCACATACCATTTACAAATGACAAAATATTAACAAAACAAATATCATGAACATAAAACTAGGGTTCTTGACAAAGAAACCACAATGGGGCAGCCATGGCATGTTTTCACAAAAATCACCACAAAATGACAATACATGCTAATGTATGATTAATGGAGATTTGGAATGTCACATACCTTTTGTAGACAAGCCTTGAGCAAGCTAAAAAGCTTAGAAACCCAGAGACACTCCTTCCTTTGCAAAGAGATGAAGCTTATTTCCTCTTGAAGCAACAAAACCAACTTTCAAGACAGTTGGAGTTATGTGATTTCCAGCTGGTTTTTTTTTATGGTTTAGACACTTGAGATATGATGTATAGGAGATGTTAGGAGTATTATAATGGTAGGAAAAGCTTTGAATGAGAATTTGGCTTTCTAAGTGGAAGAAAGTCAAACTATTAAGGTGTGGAGGTTGACTTTTGTGAAAATGATATTTTTGAGAGGTTTGAATGTATGGACACCTTCTACACCATATTTAGGGATTGTATGGATGATTTTGAAAGGCTTAGAAGTGGTAGAACTGATCTTGAGCAGAGTTTTGCTCAAGACAGCTTTTTGGTGAAAATGGAGATTTTGGGTTTTTTGAGATTCTTAAGGAATGAGAGGGAATTGAGAGCTATGGTTTCTCTGGTTTTTTAAGATTGCTCTGGTGTGTCTAAACTCATAGAAGAGGCCTCTATTTATAGCCAAAACAAGAGTGAGGGCAACCTTGGTCTTTTACCACTTTTGGAGGGAGTTTCATGAGATTTTTCAAATGAATCTTACTAAATCTTCTCCTATCAGTTCCATGGTTCAATGGAGATAAGAAAAATCAAGTGGAGATGGACATGAAGTGA